AAGTCCACAAGTCTTAAAGTTGCCAAGGTTGGAGACCCCTGTTCTAGGACATCCTGGGTCCAGACCTGTATCCTTAGCTAGCAAACTTCTGCTTGAAATAGGGATGAGCCAGTGCCAACCTAATTGAACTACATAGCTATGTAGCTGAACAATTAATTTGGCTTGACATTTCTTGAACCCAGTTTTGAACAGGAGAAAGCCTCAGTGGGCAACTTTATATCTGACTGGGGAAATAGTCTTCTGTGAAATCTTGGCTAACTGCTATCAATTGGTTTAAACTATGCCCAGCTACACCAATTGTTTGACATCATTTAAGGAATTAAATGTGTTCCTAACAGCAACTGTGTTCTGCTGTTGTAGTCAAGGGCACACCAGAATAGCAAAGACATTCTCTTGACCCGCTACATTATTCCAGGGACAATAGAAGTGCTAGGTCATCTCTAATCTGCTTAATGACTGAGGGTCAGCATGCCTCAGATTATCTTCCTGTCCGTCTTCAAACTCAAAGAGAGCATTGTCAATTGTGCCATATTGCTAGTAAATCCATTTGGGTGGATGAATTAAAGGAGGAGTTCTTGCCAATAGCTCAACAGTTGCCGAATCTTCCCTCTTCTTAGTTCCACAGAGGGATTTAAGATATGACAAGAATTCTTTTTATTTGTGGTTTCTCCCTAATGGCCAGACTTACAAGGTTAGAGAAATGGGAATGCTCAGTATGCTGGATATGTACATACATGTTTTGAATATCTGCCTTTTTAAAAGGAAGCTGTATTTTTTTCTAAGAACTTTGATGGGATAAGATTTAATTTACTATAATCTGTAGACAGTGTCCATCTGTTGGAGATTCTAAAATCTGAACTAGTAGTCTTGTTTTTTAAGGGGACTATCTGTATTCTCAATATTTTAAGAAAAGAAAAACACAGGGATAAAACACACACACACAAACAAAGGAAAACATAACTTTTCATAATAACTGCAAACTATTAAGCTCAATAAACTAAGCCAAAAAAGAAATTTGTTTATATGGTCTTGACAGAACAGAGAGGTGTGAGGTTAAACCTGCCTTGTGGACAGAATATTCCCTAGGCTTAACCAGAAGGACAATATGCTTTTTGTACCATCAATAGTTGTTTAAGAAAAGAATAATTTTTGCAGATGCCATTTGTTTGGGAAATGCTGCTCTAGAGTAGGAAAAACTGCACCTGTTGACATTTGTTGCTTTACACAGTTATTGAAAACAGTAAAAACTTTACTCTGTCATGAACCTGGTAGTAATCAGTTCTTATTCAGTGAAATTAGAATGACTCTTTTTCAGATTTTTTTAAAATCAAGACATTATCTTTAATATCAGGAAAAGAGTACCATAGTAAGAATACACCCATTCTACAGTGAATTGCTCAGAGCAATATCATTAAAGGCATTTGAAATTTTGAATTGCATTGCCTCCTTTCTAAGTCTATGTCAAAGATTTAATTTTGACTATAATTGCCTGTCAATTGCCATTCAACTTAATATATGGTGGTGGGGGGCGCTTGAGCTAAGCATCTCTGTTTAAAACAAGAACAATATTTTAGAACTAGAATCATAGCAAGGAAAATATGTGGGTAAACAAAAATTATTTTCTATCCAATGATCTTTTCATTGTAGTTCTACTACTGTGCTGGAATGAGGGCGATGGGGAACTCTGTATTGTAGGCTATTAATTGAAATTCAGTTTAAAATTACAAGAAAGGAAGATGGGGCAAGACCCTTAAATTGCCTCTCTGGTAAATTTATGGTAAATCATTTTTGGAGTGTTGCATAAGCTATATTTGTGTTTTACAGAGCTCATCACTTGGCACCTGAAGACCACCAAATTATCCTTTATATCTCATTGCAGCTGGCTCTTATCAGGCAGGTAGGTAAAAGCTTTTACTACTGATATTTTCATTGCTATGAGTTGTATATCTTGTAAGTCAATATTTAGTTGAATGCTGAGGAGTTTAAGTTCAATAAATGAATAAATAAATGCATAGCAGATCACCCTTTGTTTATAGTGATGCATAAAGACATAGTTAAATTAGAAAGATAACAAGATTAAGAGATCAGTTGAGTAATTCCTTCCTTCCTGTGTTTAACAGCTTTGAAAATACTTATCACCTGCTTCTATTTAAATACAAGCAAGCTTACCTGAAGTGTTACTTTATAGAATTTTAGAATTGTATAAAGATGTTTTAATGTTCCTGTTGGGGAGTTCAATTGGTTTACTCCTTGCAGATAGGTTTTAATAATTCTGCCTTTGGGACTCCTTTTATTTTGTTGTAGTCAAAAGGTCAGAACAAGTGAAACTGATCTGAAAGGATGAGTAACTGAGCAATCATTTAATATTTATTTTGCAGATTTGTGATGCAATAGAACATCTCCAAGAAGCACTAAAACTGTATAAGGATGATATGAATTCTCTTCATCTGTTGGCCCTCCTTTTTTCATCACAAAAACACTACCAACATGCTTTGGATGTAATGGATGTGGCCCTTGCAGAATATCCTGACTGCTTCCAGTAAGTGTTGTTCAGAATATATTCCATATCTCACCCATTTGTGCACATCATGGAGGATTGGTGAACAAGCTGTGCAATCCAGATGTTGCCCCAAACCAACAATCCCAGCTGCTAGTTAGTACAGATGGGGGATCAATTCCTCCATTTCTGGTCTAAGGGAAGGCTGTTTTTCTGTTCTGAAACTGTTATGCAGATAAAGATACCTGGGAGAACATACAACTGTTAGAAGAGTGCAAATATTGTACATATGGGGCAAAAGGACAATCAAACATCTATAGTAAAAAGGGTTGTCATAAAGGAGCAAAAATAGACTTCTTTGGGGAGCCATTGGTCATTTTGTGTCTGTTATGATTTCACTTACTATTAGGTAGCATCCTACACTTCATAAGACAACCAGTATTTCTTCTCAAATCTACTCTTCTTTCTGTTAAGATCAGCTTTTAAAAAAAACTCTGCTTCTTCCCAGGATAATGATATTAAGCACAAGGCAGCTTCTTGTTTGTGCTGAACCCAATGTTGTGGAACATTTCCTAGATCCCCAGGCTTAAAAGAAACAGAAGCAAGCTTCTTCTTGGAGGCTTTTACTAATATTTTGTTAAAGAACTTCCGGAATGCATTTGAGTGAAAGCAAGCAGATATAAAACGGTGATTGTTTTCAGTACAGTGAATACATACAAATCCTTTTTGTAGATAAATCCTTTTGTTAAAAAAAATGGTAACAGCAATAATAATAGCACAGGTTTTCAGTACAGTTATACTTTTATCCAGTGCCTGGTCTTGAAAAATATGCCCCAGATTTTCTGATTCTACAACAGTTGGCTGTCCTATTAGCTAATATCTGCAAAAATGCCAGCTACAGCTTCTCTTTCCAGATAACTAAAGGCACACTATTCTATTTTTTTTTTAAAGACAGACAGCCTACCTGAAGTACAATATGGAAATGAAACAAAACTGACACAGGATCCAGCATAGAATTCACTGATTATCTACGAATAATTACAGTTGCAAAACTGAAATGAAACAGGCAAAAAAACCACCCCTGTAGTAATCATTGTTAAAACATTATGCCTCTTTATCTTTGCTGGTTTGAGCCAAGTCATTGGAGCAATCATATGTGCTTACTTTAGGCTTCTTTAATCCAGTGTCCTTATCTAAACCTTTTAAGTCTGGGTTCAGGCTAGAGTATAATTCTGAGGTGGCACTGATGGCATTTATGGATGATCTTTAGTGATTCTGGACAGAAATGGTGCAACCGTCTTCGCTCACCTAGGTTTCTTGGCAGCTTTTGATACTATCTACCATGGGATCCTTCTGGACTGGAGGTTTTATTTTGTGGGTTCTCCTCTTTCACTTGGCTGGTTCCAATTATGGCTGCAGGAGAGATGGGTCCAGCTCCCTGTGATATGTGGTGCTCATGACTTGGGTCTCTCATTGCTCCTCTTTGCATGAAACATCTTCAGGATTTGTAGTGTAGCACCTCTGGAGATACCAGCTTAAAAAAGGTTTGTTAAAAAAGGCGGTGGGGGGTCTTCGTTAAAGTCACTGCCACCTTCTTCACTTTTTGACCCCAACATAGATGGCCCTGCAATACATCAATGGCATATGGTTCACTGCATTTGATCCATTGTTCCACTCTCCATATGGAATGCAACTTAATAGTTTCTAAACAGATTGGGATATATCAAGAAGGTCACATAGGAAAAATATCTTGAAGTGGAGCTGAGATATGAGCACATTGAAACCTTTAATTGTATTGGTACTCAAGGAAGGGCTGAATGAATGCAAAAGTGATTTGTACTACTACTTTCTTCAGATAAAAAGACTGTGTATGTGTGCAAGGAGTGAGAGCCTGGCAATTGGAGTGTCAGGAGCAAAATGCCAGTGGCCTCCAAGGGAGACAATAGGGGTCGCAGTGATGTTAGCAGCGTTGCAACATTCACTGCACGACCACTTTTTCTCCCATGTGCACTGCAATATCATATGCACCCTCCAAAGGGGTGAGGGTGCATATGATATTATGAGGCTGCTTTTATCTGACAAAAAATACAGCAAGATGAACTAATTCTACTTTATTGTAAGGCTACATTAACAGAATATTGCAAGTTTGAAGGCACAAACTTCCTGCCTCCACTTTTAACTGTTCGATCCATTATAGCATATCCTTCAAAAGTTTCTTTTTCTGACTATTAAGTGACTGCAGCCCCGGGCCCCCCTTCCCCCCTTATCTGATTGTTTTCTAGGCAGTGTCTCTTTTCCTTTTTCCCCAAGATCACTCATAAATTCCATTACATCAACAAACTGATATAAAACAGTGGGAGCCTGCAGATGCCAATGAAAAGGAAAGCTTGTTTTTTATACATATAAACAAAGTAAAATAAGAAAATAAAGCAAATCTCTTATAGATTTCCTGGCTTTTAAATGATACAAGAGTAAAACATAAAGGTTTATGCATATAGAGACAGGTTTTGGTTAATTATGTGAAAGAGTTAAGTTGGTGTAGAATCTGAGCAACCACATAAATAGATTTTCTCTTAATGATGATCTGTCAATGATCTGGTCTTTCAGAACTTCCAACAGTGCACCCATCACAGCTGTAATTGAACCCATCTAGTTTGCTACATGATCTTTTCAACTTTACCAGCAGTAGAGCCTTTTCCAAAGTTTAAAGTCTTTGCATACTATGTCCAAAGCAGGATAATTTGAGCTAGGTCATTTGTATCTGGAATGAGAATTCTGGATTGATTTACTTGATGATTTCTTGGTCTAATGTGAACAACGTATTTAATTGGGGGGAAAGAGTCAATTAAAATGTAGAAGGAGCAGAGGAAGATAAAACGGAATGAACAAATGAACTGTGTTTAGAAATCAATAGGAAAAATGCAGGAATTATGGCTCTTTCTATGCTGCAAAAAATAATTTATAATAACTGAAATTAAGCTCAAACCATCAATCAAACTAAATTGCATATTTACAAGGCTGTCCCAAGGAAAAATGACTCTCCTATATTATGATTCACCACAATAAAATTGTCAGGTTTGATGTGATGATGATGGATTAGTAGTAAAACAATTGAAGAAAAAAAACCCTTAGTATTTCCTTGGCTTGAACTGGTACCTGAATAGTTTCTATGAGTAATTAAAATTAAGCTTAATGAGAATTCCAGCACAAAGCCTTCTTGTTTTAATTTGCTCTAAAAACTTCTGCTGTGGGTGGAATAGAAATAAAAAGGGTTAGGAATGCTCACACAGTCAGCCAGATGTTTAGACTGGATTTGGTGTTTTTGTCCACCTAACAAATCATTTCCAAGGACCTGTGATAGGCAGATGTTGCTTGATGGTGTAAAAGGTATCCTTGAAAGATTTATGAGGATTTACGATTTAAGCTGTCCCAAGTAAAGTTACCTTTTGCAATTGACTGATGATAATTTTATAATGCTAATGAGGTGCAAATAGTGTACCAGATGTTTGGGGTCTTCACCCAAGGAAACTATTACTACTGATATCTTTGGTTTACTGATCTCTTTGCAAAGACTTGCAAATAGAAGTGGAATGACTAGGATGAAAGAAAGTCTTTGTATTTTGTGATTTTTTTCCAATTCTTTCTTTTCCATATTGCTGTCTCCAGCTACTGCCACATCCTTAATCCACACTTCTTTGTCATTCTTATCAATAGTTTTTAAATATGTGGTGTTTTGTGGCAGGTGCCTGCCTGTTTGAATTTTAAGGTTCCAGACCATTTAGCTTCTTCGTTTGTTAGTACTTTATTTTGTGGTCGTACCAGTTCTTACTTATAGGCAAATGGTATTTCTTGCATATATTCCAGTGCACCATTGTTGCTACTTTGTCATGTTGTTGTTTGTAGTCAGTTTTGCAGAAGCCAGCTAGGTGGTCCCCTCTTCTTCAGCTTCTTTGCAGAGGGAATATTTGCTTTATGTTGCTGTTTTCTCAATTCTGATTTTGTGTATATGTGTTTTCCAGGCTAGGTCTTTCTTGTGCAGCCAAAATTAGCCCCTTTGTCTCTTTCTTCAATTTTCCTGCTTTTTGACATTTCCAGATCTTCTTGTTATCTGGTTTGTATGCTGGCTATTTTTCTTAATATACTGGCCATGTAGTACTTTGCCTTACCATGACTCTTTTATATTCTTCATTTGGTCTTTCTTATAAGCCAGTTTGGTCTCCAGATTCAGTAAGCCTTCATGATATACTAACTTCAGTGCATCTTTTCCACTGTCCTTCAGATACCTTTCCAGTGTCTTTTTTTCTTCTTGAATTGTCCGGTAACTTGCAACATTCCACACCCAACTATATTTCTTGGTTAGTAGAGGCTATCAACATCACTGCATGGATTAAGGGCATGATTCATCATCATTATTTTTTTGGTCTCCCTGTCCAGGACTTTTAGTTCTGCTTGAGTCTAGTCCTCTATTCCAGCTGTGTATCTAATACTAGAAATGCCCAGTTGTTAACTGCCTTGAGTTGTTTTCTTCATTGAGTTTGGACTTTAAGATTTTCTTCACCTTGATGATGTATTCTCTTCTAACGTTCTTGATTTTGGTGTGCTTGTTGCTGTCAGCTTGAAGGATGCCTGGGTATCTGTGGTAATTGAATTCATCCAGACTTTTGATGTCATTTCCTTAGGGCATCTTGATTTCTTCAGTTTTTCACTATTTTCTCCTGTTGTTGGTAAGGCTAACACATTTGTCCAGTCCATATCTTGACTATATATATAGGGACAACGTTAAGCAGTGATTTTATTTCAGGTAGTTTTTCCATACAGTTTCAGATCATCCATGTAAAGGAGGTGGGATAGCCTGGCAGATGTTTTTGATGTTTACAGCCATGGTCTGGCTTATTTAGTATGGTTGACAGAGGAATCAATGCAATGACCAATAACAGTAGTGAGAGTGAGTTTCCTTGGAAGATTCCTCTTTTGATTTAACACCTCCCTGTCTATCACCATTGACCAACAACTGTGTCTTTCATTGTGCCACTGATTTTTGT